GGGCGAGGCCTCAGCAAGCGCTTCGCGGGCGACAACGCGTCCTTCACGCCGACCGCGAGCGGCTTCGTTTCTCGCGGCTCCACGTACGCCAGCCGCAGACCCCGGCGCCCCTCGCGCAGCTGAGCAGCCTCAATTAAAACACCAAAAGAATCCAGCGCGCAGCATTTTAAAGAATTTGAAAGGAAACGGGATGTATTTGTGCAGGGATTCTCCGCACGAGGAGAATCATCGTGGTGCGAGGTACGTCCAGCGCGGATTTCACGAGGTACAACGACAAAAAATCCTCTGGTTTAGGGCCTCTGCTCCAGGGGCACATTTACCTCTTCGTTATCAAACCACCGCAGGGTAAAATCTCCGAGCAGAACGAAATAATTCTCCTGCCAGCTGCGGGAATCGCTGTCGTAGTGGGCGAGCACCCCCTCATGCAGAGCGGCGTTGGGCGGCCCCCGGAGCTGAGGACACACAGAGGAGGAGCCACAAAACCTCAGTGAAGGCACGAAACGAGGAGCCAGAGCTGTCGCCTGGCGCGGGCCGAGCCCCTTGGCTACGAGTGTTGTAGAAATAACAGCGAGAGGCAGCTGGACACAGACATCCAGCGGTGAGAAAAAGCAAAGGGCTAAAAAACTGCGTCGGGGCTTTCTGCGGGGATGCTGTGAGGGTCTCTGACGCTGCTCTGTGAGCCAGACCCCGGGCTGCTGATCCCACCGCCTCACCCCTCTTAAAACACGTTCCTAAAGACTTCGAAGGCACAAAAGAGAAGTTTTTCCCAAGAACAGGTGGCGGTTCCACGTAACACCCGGTTCCGGGACGAGGCTGCGCTGGGCTCTCACCTGGCCGGGCAGGAGCTGCGGGGCCGCGCTCCCCGGGGGCTCCAGCTCCCCCGAGACGCGGCGCAGGAGAGCGGCCGCCAGCTGCCGCCGGTAATGGGGCACGAAATTCTTCACGGTGGCGTCGGCGCGACCTGCGGGCAGAGCGAGAGAGGGAGCTGGGGGAGGTTCCCTCCTCCCACACAGCTCCCGGCTCTTCGTTAGAAATTTTTTCTCTCCGCTAACAGCAGCGTGAACTGAGCGCTGAGGCACGAAGCAGCTTCTCTGTATCTCAAGAAACGAAGAGCTGCGGATCTTTATTTCTTGTGCTCGGCGCTGGACTCCGCTCCCAAAGCGCTTTATCACCCTGAGAAAGCACTTGGGAAGGCGCCTGGTCAAAAAAGGATCGGAAGTGTCCCAGGGTCTGATGCTAATTAAGATTGAAAAAAAGACTTTATGTGCTACTGCTCTTCCAAACGCTTCTTCTGCCAGCTGGAAAGATAGAACCGAGGGAGGAAATTCATCGCCAGCAGCTGCCGAAGTCGTGCCCTGTAAGCGTGAAAAAAATCGGGCGAAAAAGCCGCAAGTCGGGAGCCCGAGGAGCGTCTCGGGGCGCAGAGAAACGCGGTGCCGGCGCCACCGAGGAGGGGGCGTCTCCCAGCAGGGGCCTCGTTTCTCACGGTTGGGCTTCTTCTGTCCCGTCAACGCCTTAAAACCGACAGCAAAAGGAGATTTCCCGTCCCACGAAGCCCAGACGTGAGCGCAGCGAGTGCCGAGCCACCTGCGGCCACACGAACCCGCCAAGGGCCCCCGCGCTGCAAACGGGATTTATATTTACTCCCCCCCAATAAAAAACGAGCAGCAGAGTCAGCAGAAGGGGCTTCTCACCTCTCAGATACCGGCGCTGCCGCCCGCTCAGAGGGCTCGAACACCTTCCCCCCATCTTGGGCCTCAGTGGAGCGGAGACAGGCCACGGGCCGCCCCCGAGCGTGTTTCTGAATTTCTGAGTTTCTGTCTCGTCCCCTCCAGCTCGTCGGTTCATAAATATTCAAATTAAAGCTTCATATCAACCCCCCCACACCCTCACAAAAATAAGGCCTTAAAGGGGCAGCGGCACCTCAGCCGTTTCCCAGCCCTTCCTCCCAGTTTCACCCCAAATTTCGTGTGTTAAAACGTCAATGATTTGGTTTCTGATTTCTTTGGCAGAGCAGGAGACCTCACCCGGGGTCGCCCCAGCTCAGAAGGTCTCGGTTTCGCAGCGGGATGGTGCTCGTTGGGTCTCCTCTCGCCCACCCCCAGGAATAATTAGTAATTACTGTTAATTAACACAGAACTCTTCAAGACGAGATCTGCGCATGATGGAATTTAAATTCAAGACGCTGAAGCGGTTCAGGCTGTAAATTTATACGATGTTGTGAAAGGAACAACTGGATTTACCCGAACTGGCTCCGGGTGCTCCCCCACCCGCACAAGAAGCGGGTGATGTTCAGGAACGAGGCAGAAGCGGCCAAGCGGGATCCAACAAAGGGGATTTTTCTGAGTTATTTCCAAATTTGAGAGCACAGCACAGAAAGAGCCCCGGCGGCCGCTGCCCCACACACCTGCACTCGCTTCCCCAATCGAGCGGGACAAAATCCGCCGCTTTTACCGTGACGAGGCCCCTTCGCCCCCCCCACGGGACGGGCACAAACAGGAAACTCTGAGCAGAAACGTTCAGCCCCCACAGCAGCCCCCAGGCTGGGAAAAAAGCCCAACTACTTTTAACACGAGGAAATCAAAGGCAAGGGAGATAATTTAGAAAAAGGCCTAAAGCCGGATGGAAAAAGGTTTTGGAAACGCCAGAGGGGTAACACGGTGCTGCTGCGTGGGAGAAGCTGCTTCCTCCAGACCCAGGACTGGCCACGTGAAGTTTTACCACTTACGTTTCCCAAAACCATCTTGTTAAAACTGGGATCATTCCTCAGCTCCAAGAACAGGGGATTGTGTGATTCCAATTTTTTTTTTTTACACTTAAAAAGATTTTATCTGCACGCGTCTGCTTCGCTTTGGGTTTTTAAGATGCGGAGCTGTTATCAGGCAGATACAAACCTGATTTAGTTTCGTTTGTGTTTAATTCACCCCCCGCGAGTTCTCCGAGTCCCATCCAGCTCTTTCATCGTTTATCTGTAAATACCCACATCAAGCCCAGGAACCTCCATTCCTATTTTTTTATCCCCAGATCTGGCAGGGAATTGCTGCGCTTCCTAGACTGCAGAAGCCTTTTCTGACTCTGACATAGTTCTCTTCCTGCGGTTTATCACCACTGAAACCTCACTGCTACGGGTGTGGGGGAAACAGGCAGGAAGGAGCCGCGGGTGCTGGTTTGGGGACAAACTAAAAGGAGTTTTAAGTCAGGATTAAAAAAACAAACCAGCGAGGAAGAGCTGGAATCCATCCGTTTAATATCGGCCCCCGCCTTGACCTCGCAGCCAGTGACCCGAAGATTACGTGGAAATCTGCATTCGCAAAGCACCGTTTGGTCCAGAAAGAAGAAGAAAAATAATTTTTAAAAGCAGGTTTTGTGCCACCACCGAGCATGGGGTCCTCTGCCGACGTCGGAGCCCGACTCTACGCGCCGGGATGTTTCTCAACGGGGCCGGTCAGTTCTTTGGCCGCTGCCTCGTCCAGGAACCAGAGCAGCTGCCCCGAGCGAGGCCGGACACGAGCAGCGGGGAGGGGGTTCTCCTCCTCCCCCCCTTCCAAAATGCGCTGTTGGGAGAGAGGGAGCGGAGCCTCAGCCGGGCGGGCAGCGAAAGGGAACCGCCAACACCTCTCGAGCACTCGCTCCCTAAAAACAGCCTGGATTTTTGTTAAGAAAAAAGAACGGTTTGGGTCCAAACCTTTAAAACGGCAGCTTTGCCCTCCCCCGTAGCCACGAAGACGACCGTCCGCGCGGCATTCAGCACCGGCAGCGTCAACGTTATTCGCTCCGGGGGCGGCTTTGGGGAATCGGTGATGGCGGCGACTATTTTCTCTTCCTCCTATTGGAGTGAAAACAGTGAAAGAAGGGGAAAGAAAAAAAATATGCCAAAGCAGGGGAGTGATCTGGGCTCTGCCCATAAACGGGGCGAGCGGGGCTGAGGGTGTTGAGCCCTCCCACGCCCCCACCTGAGCCAAAATCTTTACGTTTCCCCTCACAATCAGGAGAAATTTAAAAGAAACGAGCAGGGGACTGAGTCAACAGGTTTTTTCTCCCTGGAACAGCGTTTTTCCCTCCTTTTGTTAAACTCCAGCCACTCCCCACCCCAAGCAGTCTCTCCACGGGCTGCGGGTGCCCAGGTTTGGAGACGCCGCAGCGCAGGCGCCTCAATATCCAGCAGATGGGGATTTAAACAATGATCAGTAATGAAGCCAGGACCCCAGGGCTGAGCACCCACGACAGTGCCCACGGAGCCCTCACCGTGCATCTGTACTTCACGCAGTCATCCCAGAAGCGACTGGCTGAGAACTTCTTCCGGATCACCACGGTG